ATCAGTGAAGAGTTTTGAAGTAGAACCAAATATCTGTCCAGTACTCCTTGGTTTTCAATGGTTCTCTGACTGAGATTAGTACTTGATGTGACTTGAAATCAACCAACTCCCTGGAAATGGATTTTTATCATGCTTGTAAATATGCCTAATCTGATATTTAAGGTGATCCTGAATCCTGGAAATGTTTTCATTAAATACGGTAGTTTGCTTTCTTTTACTTTAGTTGATGATAGCAGCGAAGTACAGAAATGACTACTTTTGGCAACTCATCTAGCCAATATAAAGATCAATTCATTTCCTGTCAAAAGAACGATGCTGTTAAGCTTGATATAAAAGCAGTTTACAAATTTCGCTAATTTCATATTGTCTCATTCTAATAGCCTATTAAGATGTAGCACGGTTCAAGGGGGAAGAAGAAAAGGGAATGATGATTAAGCCACTTAGACAGTATTATGTTTAGGTCATAAAAGGAGATCTGAAATTAACCTTGTAAAACAGAGAGTAGTATTACAGGAGCTGCTGATTGGAGTCTCACTGAGATGAAGATTTTTATTTCACTTTCAATAAATACTCACCAAATATTATGTCTTATATATTCACGGTATAAGGTCTAGTTACTTCAAAATCCGATATTATTTTCTCAGCGTAGTGTAAGGAAATTAAAGTGACTTAAGTGGAGCACAGTGGAATGGTAAATAAGGAATGAACAGGGGGAGCCTCAACTTTTTGCTGGTATTATCACCTTGTTCAAATGAGTTAAATAAGTTCAAGAAGGTAGACAATGTCACTTAAACTTCTACAGTGAACGTTTGAAATGCTGTCGGAAAAGGTGCAAAATGATTATTTTGACTACACTGTTCTGATGTATATGGAAAGTTCAGGCCAACAAGTTCAAGCACTCGAAGTCGTTTAAGTGCTTACTGTTTAGCATTTTATGTCTGTTGTTGCAATGTTTTTCGAGTACTCTAAGTCCTAAGGTTTTAAAGACCACTTAACTAGCAAAATATAACAATCCCATAGGAAAACACACATTACTCTGGGATGACGCTGGGTTACAAAACTATAACGAACATCAGTGTGTTGAAAATAATGCGTCAATAGTTTGTATATTTAGTTAAAAATTTGTCGCATGTCATAACTAATTATTTTGAAGCCATTTTGTTTTCCATTTAGACAAAATAGTAGGTGTATTTTTAGAATTGTTTAAGTGTTCGTAAGTAGCATATTACTTGTTTATTCCGACATGCTTTATTTACAGACTGCGATACGCAATAACACGTCTTACATACAGAGGACAGAAACGCGTTCGACCAATAAGACGACTCTTGAAAATATGCATTTCTCGGATAACTTATATCTAATCTCACACAAACTCGAACAAATACATCGTGAAAACCAATAAATTGTTAGAACAAACAAAAAAACACAGCAATTCGAGGAAACACAGAAAAGACGGAGGTGATCAAGATAACAACCAAACCAGCCAGCCAGCCACCCAACCAACCAACCAATAACAACAACAATTAACACCACACACTATCAACCGAACTAATTTGAAACAGCTCACCTCCTTCACTTATCTACACAACATCGTCTCAAATACAGGTGGTGACAGAACGGATGACGACATCAAAACCCGAATCTGAAGGATGTGACTTACCTCCATCAGTCTGAAACCGGTGTGGAAATCTTCTGCACTCTGCAGCGTAAACAACGAAATTTCTGTTTTCAACAACAATATCAAGTCAGTCACTTCCAAAATATGTGTCAGACATCCGGCCGGCTAATGTAGACTCTTATCAACAGCTGTCTTCCCCGGGTAGATACTGAAGATCGGATGGCTGGTCAGAAAGAATCACCAACAAGAAACTTTAGGAACTAAGCAATCAAGAACATATTACTGAAGAAAAGTGTAGAAGAAATTGGAGATGGACTGGACACATGTTGAGGAGACCGTTGTGTGTCTTGTTAAAAGTTGTCCAGTGAACAGATGTATTCACAGCAAGAATGATTACTTGTCTGTCATAAGAGTATCTTGATGTGACATAAAAACGCTAAACTCAATAATCTGGCATTTAACTAAATTTGAATAGAATCCTGACCAGTGCACGGATGGGGCAGGTGTTTTTTCACTTCAGTACTTAGATTTCCATGAAGATCGTAGTGAACTCCGGGTTCACTTTCTACTTCAGTCACTCACATTTGTTGCAAATTAGTCTTAAGTTCATTCTCACTATTTTATAACTTCTCAAGTGTTGGTTTGTAGGGATTTGATTGGTTACAGGATTTCATCATAAGCTGACATTAGCTAGAGAAGCATTGGAAAACCTGGGAGTACTGGACAGCTATTTAGTCCTGGTTTGGGACTCTCTAGCAGCACGCTCCCACCGGGATTCGAACCTAGGATCTTCTGGTCACAAATGAGTCAAGTATAAAATACTTTTGACACACTCAAAAAGTTCACAAAGCAAATAGACGTCTGAACACTTTGTAGAGAGTTACTATATAAAACGTCTTAGCAACGACGTAAAGTATAGTGGCATAGTTCGTCAGCTGTCTTCACATTATGATATGAATTTATATCTTGTGGGATATATTGTTGTCAAATTATATATATATATATATATATATAATTAAAATATTTTTTAAAGAAGAATAGCCAGCGGCTAAATTTATTTGAACTGTTCATTTTGATGTCAGCGTATTAGACATATGATGAATTTAAGTGAACCGTAAACCAAAGTGTGAAACGCGTACATTTTTGCTTATATGACAGTGCTATGTATGCGTAGCCTGTCTCAAAGTCTCTACTTCAGATGTGGCACTGAAGCAAACTTGGTCAGTTCTTGCTATCTCATTCACTGAAAAACATTGATAACTTGTAGATTACATTTAAAACAGGAACTTTTCTGTGTGCATAAATAATACTTATTTGTTTATTTATTTAAGATGAAAAAGTATATATATATATCAGAATCATTTAAAGAACCATTATATACAACAAGGCATTGTGTTATAAGTCGGATGGTGTCTCTACTCTTACATCTGGCCTCCCCTCCTCTTCCAGTTTACTACTGACTGGTAAACAAGGTGATATTTAGAAGACAGTCAGCTGATGACGGAACTTGAACCTTCCGCGTGACCAGTGAGCTATCTACCCCTGAATGATTGAGGCAGCAGTACGTATCAGATATATTATAACAACTGGCTAAAATTATTGGAATATGATTAAATTTATGTCTATAATTTTGTTTCGCCTTTTTAAACCGGGTTACTTGAAATTGTGGTGTAGCAGTTGAACTATGCGTGTAATTGTCAGGAAAGTAAAAAGTGAAGATTTTTATCTGAAAATAAAGAGGTTACCTCCTGAATTCTGTTTACGAAGAAATCTTAGATAGCAACTTCGAAAATTCATTAAACTGTAAGAATTGCATAAAATTCTGTTGAATTCTAAGTAAATCACAGAAAGTGTGATTCTTTGACCCATTCAACGGGAAGTCATGTCGTTAAGGCGACTACTAATGATTTTATGTAATGCCATGTGTCAGTGGTTCAAGGGTAGAATACCCGCTAACCAACTACATGGTTAGGGGTTCAATTCCTGGATGACGCACTCCTGAATCTGGCTAAGCTAGTTGTAAGGCCGGTTTAGAGGGAAAGTTAGGCGTGAGGCTAACCACCCGAACTCGTAAAAATTAAACCACTGCTACTGGAACTTCAGAGCTCTAGCTTGAAGCCCTACGTTCAACTGGGAATGTAGACGAATAAAACTTTAAAGAAAAATTAAGCCATTTAATGCCAATATCTGATACTCGTTATGATTCAGTTTTCCCTCATTCAAATGTGATTTCATTATGAAGAATACCGAAACATTTTCTCTTAAGTAGGTGGAATTATGACTTAGATTATAGACAACTTCGAATACTCTGCAATATAAAATGTGATAGGATGTCACAGACACCTCTGCAGTTTTTCTTCTTATCTGTTTTAATATTCTTCTCAATGTGTCTAATTCACAACCCACTTGAGACAACCACTTGTCTACCATTATATCCATTAAGATGGCTTCCTCTAAGAATCAACTTAATGCCAATACTTTACTAAATCAATAAAATCGATTTTGTCCAGTTACTTAGTCGATAATTCATGGGGAGATATTTTCCAGTTGTACATATACTTCTGTTTCACTTTTCTGCTATCAACTACAGTTTGTAGGCTTGCTTTGAACCAGAAGAAATACGAATTGGAAGATTAAGTCAGTTTCCATTGGAGCGAGTAGTTTGGATTTGACTGCAGACTTGTTTTTAAGTACTAATAACATTCAGACCATTCTATGAAAAAGCACAATGAAAAAAATCTCCAGCACCATAAAAACCACTGGTTTCCATTATTTGCTTGCTTTCTTCCAGCTATCACAATCACTTATTAGCATAAATATGACTGGTCATATGCACTAATCATCTAATTACGGAAACATGCCTCAGTTGCCAGTTATTTTACCAATCAGATCCATTGAAATAGCAAATCGATAAGCAGTAAATAATATGAACACACTGATTGGTTCATTTTTTATTCAATTGGACCGTTTGTTGTTGTAAAATATTTCCTCACTGCTTCATATATACACTAATCAAGATAAGGCAAGCTTATTTTTCAAAATAAGAAAGACCTACTTCTTGTTTGTTTTAATGCGTGGAGTATTTTTATCGCTGTCGTTATAATTTTTGAAAGAAAAATAAATTTAAGCTGAATGGATAAGCAGAATAATTATTATACCGATTTAATGAAAGATTGGTGATTATAGTTTTGAAGCCCGTGTGTGTATATGACCAGAAATGTGTAAAATGGAATTTATTTTAATTTTTGTCAAATCTATCATTCATAAATGTTGTGAACTGTTTGATTAAAATGCGTTGATGTATACATCAAAAAAACAAAAGCAAAACGCAACTATTGTATGATACGTTAGATTGTTGAATTCACTACACTTATAATTCCTAATGGCAAGGAAATATCTACAGCTACTGACAGCAATAATTGTATACCAATGTGGTAAGTTTTTTGGTATTTGGAACTTATTAGTTAGACATTTTCTATAGTTTAGTTTGTAAGGATTAGTTATGTTTTACGAGTTGATCACGGATTGATATCAGCTAGAGAACCATTGAAAACCAGGGAGTACTGGACAGCTGCTGTTTCTTCCTAGTTTGGGAATCATCGGCAGTATGCACCCACTGGGGTCGCGCTAAATCACGAATTGGTAGAAGTTAGAATTCACGAGCCATTGAATCATGTCCCAGTGGCTGAATGGTATACGAGCTCGCCTTGCAACCAGAAGGTCCTGTGTTCGAACCCTGGTGGTGGGTGCGTACTGGCGATGATTCCCAAACTAGGATGAAACAGCTGTCCAGTACTCCCTGGTTTTCAGTGTTTCTCTAACTGATATCAATCCGTGATCAATTAGTTAGACATTCTTAAATTTAAGAAAAGGCGTACTCGTCACTGACTAGATTTTCAACGGAGTTGACATCATTATGGAACATCTCGGTACTAACTGTATTCAGATTGTTTAATGAATCTTAGTGCAGTTGTTTGTTTTTACTTCATTTACTCTTTTACACAGTGTTGGGAAGAAATTCAGTACACTAGCTGTTTTTTCATAATAAAACTCGTCATTGTACACAAGGATCTGGCATATGACCGAGGGAACTTGGGTTTTTGAACTACTGTTGGCCACTGACTTCCAGAAAGTTAGTTATTAAACGTAACCACCTTGAAATGTTTTGCAATATTTCCAAATTACTTAACTGAGTACTTTATGGAGCATATTGAAAACTGCTTGCTATGACTTCAAGTTAGAATAAAATAACCCGGCTGAGAAACTAGTAGATTGACAAATAACCACTATGCACTTATTAAAATGCAAGATGAGAAATTAAAGTTTATTTTCTCTACTGCTTTTATGCCAAATATCTGTCTGGTTTTACATATTCGATTCTTGAATGTCTGGAAATCGAAGCCTTAAAGTTCAAGTTATTGAAGAAGTCATTCTCCTATAGAAGTCTACCCCACTGCCTGAAGTTTGTCTGAGTAGCAAAATCAATTACTGAACTTCAATAAATCTTTTGCTGGTTGCTTTTCATTAGTATGACATATGTATTCCTTCCTCATATTACTGCTAAAGTTCAGTTATACTGACGAAATGAAGTACATACACTTATTAAATCAATGAAAGTTGTTTAATGTAATGATCACAGCTTTACTCGGACAACTGATGATGCACTTCAGCCTTAGGATTTAGTTAAAGTCCTCACACACGTGATACACAAAAACTTTTAAGTGAAGAATGATGTAGACGTTGCAAATTTCAGTATGAAATAGATATCTTGTGTCAAATAAAATTGCTTCCATTTTGCGCAGATTAGTTTGCATGTTAACTTAAACAGAAATCTAAAATAGGCAAAACATATCTCTATTGTTACGTTATACCATGTGTTGAAATTATTGTTTTATTTGTTGAGATAAAATGGAATACCACTAGTTTTCTCAATTTTTAATACAAGCATATCGATCCTGAAGGAAAACTATTCAGTCTAGTCTAGTGTTTCGCTAAAAAAAGCTAAAATAGGAAGCAAAAGTTATGCTTTTTGGTCAACTAGTGAAGAAAATATTCCCACAATGGCGGTCATATGGTTTTACTTCGCATTTACTGCTAAGTGTCACATAGTTGAAGGGAATAAAAGAGACAGCTCTTTGATTGGTCATAACTCTTCCAGCAATATCATGTGTTCTCTTAAACATTGTTTAACATGAGATGTTAGTAGATTGTTCAATCAAGTTACGGCACAAATGATACCAGAAAAATGGTCGTTTAATAGTGTTCATCAATGATCATATAAGGAGAGTGAACTATCAAATGCTTGTTCTCAAGATACTAATCAAAATTTTGATAAACGCAGACTTACGAACTTGAAAAAGCAAACCATACTGCATTTTTGTACTTTGACTAGCCTGTGACACCATCTATTATTAGAGGTTGTGTAAATGTCATTTAAGTAATATGTCTATAGACTGTGATATGGGTAATTCAGCTATTTTGATAGTTCTGCCTGCAACAAATTCTATTCTAGGCCAGATTTTCTCAATAAAGTAATCTCTAATAATTTATATATGTCCAAACCAAGTTCACTTTTAACAGTTTAAAAAAATTTGGACTTTAGGTATATGATATTCATTATATGTATATATTCATTCATCTCGAATAACTCTAAAATGTAATTATGCGTAAGGAATAATTAATGTATGCATACAAGATAGGATAACTTTTCTACTCACTTCTTATTCTTCTTTTTTTATTACTGTTTAACCATGTTGTCTTTATGCATAAATTAGAAGGGATAATAGGGAATTCGTTTATTTCTTTATGTATTTTAAACATACAGTAGAGCTTGACTAAATAAACTATTTCTGTAGACAAGGCGAAAGAGATAGTAAGTTAGTGAGTGTGTCATCTAAATCGGAATAAAGCATGGAAACTTCAAAATTACTGAAATGTGTGACCTGTAAATGGGTATTAGGCACCGAGTCGGTGATCAGACCACTTCTCAGACCTCCTTGTAGGTAAAAACTCTAAACTTATCTTTTAGGTTAAGTTTGAAATTGAATAGTAACATATAAAGCTGGATGTAAATTAAAGAGTCGTAGGTGTATTGATTCAGTGTAATTGTCTGGCTTGACAGTCTGTACACTAAGTGATTCCATTTTGTGGTCTATACTATCACTCCACACTAGTTAATTAGCAGGAGACTATGGATAGCTGTGAAGAGAAGATCCGTCTCTAATACACTAAGAACCATGACAACTAGACATGGTGCAGTTCAACGGAGCATGTCTGTCTATAATCAATTCAACATTGCTGCTGTCTTTTGGCTACTCATTAACTACCAATTAATAATTAGTGATGTAATCAGCTGTATAGATGTGACAAGTTCAGCTATTGATTATATAGCAAGGCTGGTCAAGAAGTTAGGTAACTTGGCTTACCTGAATTATTACACTTTCCAAACAACAGTTTTCCTATTGACAATAAACTGCATAGCCTTGAGCCTGTAACCGTTACTTTAAAAATTGTGATAACCACTTTATTTTTCGGTTTGCATAACGAATGCGTCTGCACTAATTCAATTCTCGAAGGAATATTAAGCTCAGTAGGTGACGGAAGAATAGGTTCAGTGAGTAAATGTAGCCCTTTTCTTCGACTCCGTAGTTTTAAATCACACTTTTCTATTACTATTGATAAGAAATCGCCAAATCCAAACTTATAACCATTCGTAAGTAGTAAAAAGGTCAGAGGAACACCGCTTCTTTAGTGAATATAGAAGTAGCATTTGATTAGGCATTTCAAAAGACAGAGGGAAACTGCTATACCATGTTTTTATTTTTTTTCCCCAGTCTCTTCCTTCTGGACTATTTAAAATTCCTTTGCAAATAAAACAATCTAGGACAAGTAGCCGTAGTAGGAAAGCTAAAGTGATACGGTCATTTGTACTCATCTGTATTTTGTTAGACGTACATTTTCCTCTGTGAGACAAAAAGTGTAGCTTTATTCCTCTACCTCTTCTCTGTATACTTCCTAAACCGCTAGGGTTGCTGTTTCTGTCATTGTTCACCACCAAGTTATATTATTACTACAGTTTCCTGGCCGTCACTATATGCAACAACTATTTTTGATAGGAAGAGAATTCGTTTTGAAATTTCTATGAAAGTGGGATGAGAATATATATATATATATATACATACGCATATGCCAATCATTCTATAGTTAACTTTTTTCTCAATGAAATCCAAATAATACAGATGTAAACAAAACGGGTTGGAATAAAACTAACACACTATTTTGGCATTAAAACTGATATTGTTTTCACAATTCACTGTTCGAGGTGAGATTTCACTATATTTTCTGTTTTATTCCCAAATGAAGCTGTAATCGGTTCCTGAGTTGTACCAGCAGATCTGCAAACGCCATCAGAGTGTGCCAAGTCAAGTAGATACATAGTCACAAAACCCTTTCTATAACACATCTTAACGTGAAAAGCAGTGACATTTCATGAAACTTATTTTTTCGTTGAACCTCTCATTAAAAAATGTAAATATGAAGAAATAATTCCCTTTTTAAAGCTGTCTGTTTGCATATCACAATAAAATTTGCAAATATTCATGAATAATGATGAATAATTAAATGGAACTTTTTCAGTAATCTGTTTCATACCATTCACGTATGTATCCACAGACAGACTTTAGGCGAAACTGACAGTCGTGAAGTCGTATTGACATTGATCAGTAAGATACAAAGGAAGCTTTGAGAAGCTCATACTTCCTTAATAATTTGAAGCTGCACATCACAATTTCCCGAATGGTTACTGTGAAACATAAAAACAAATATCCTAAAATCGCCATTAATTTGACTCTATAGAACACGTAAGGTAAAAATGTGGCACGCTTTGTTACAATATGCCATATTCATTTAAAGTTTTCAAATTCTAATATCACTGCCAACTACTCTAAGATGAAAACGTTCAACTCATGTTTTAATACATAACATTAAAATTCAACGTTGGGATAGTGAGGTAAATTGTTTACTGAGCAGTCTGCTATCAGATCACTTTTAAACACATGCAACACACATGATTCCACATTTATACCAGAAATTCGTAGATTTTTGTCACTGTTGCGCAATTACTCTATACAGTGTGGAGAGTTGTGCGGTTGCCGTGATATGATTAGGATTATCAGATTATGCTTGAAAAACACTACACATCACGTCGAATAAACACATTGACGTGAAATTGTGTTCTCTTACTCTATCCAATTTTGTATCTGCATGTGGATAGTAACTGCGGTTTCAGTGATTCTAATTCAATCTGTTTCTAAACAGTAACATCATTAGTTTTGGAGATAGTGCTAGATAAAGCGTAGGGCCTTATGCGTGCCAATAGGATGTCATTTATTCCTGTGTAGAATGAGATAAATAGATATAATTAGTGGATATAGGG